ACTACCTATTTGATTTTAGGATGAAATTCTGGAGGTGAAATGATTAGGGCCTCAGCCTTGTTGGCCTTCAGAGAAAGAAAATTGCTGGACAGCCAGTTGCTGATCTGAGTTAGACCGCGAGTAAAGGTGGGCAGCTTGTCCAACTGGTGAGGCTTGAAGAACATTAACAGCTGAAGAAAAACTTCAAGATACCTTCTGTTGGCTCATAAAGAGCAGGTTTCGATGTTGCCATGCACAAAAGCATGTTTGGGTCGTATGAACTATGGCCGTCATGCACAATTATGTGTGCACTTTTTTGTATAAAGCCTTATCACAGTTTACACACACACAATTTACATTACAGGCATTAAACTGCTGACTTCAGTGTTTGAACAGTGTTATAATGTGCAGGTGTATTTTGTAATGGAGGTAAATAGCAGATGGATCAGTTGGCAAATTAGAGATAAGAAGCCTGCAGATGTGTTTACTTCATCTCCCTAGTTTAGTGCTTTAATTCCTCTAGAAACCTGGTTCTGTCCTGTCACTGATTGCTGGATTATGCAGATTTTGTCAGACCTTTGATGATTCTTATGATTTTAAGGATATTTTTGATTTCTTGGACTTTAGTTTTCATCTTGTTTCAATCCTTACAGTTTCTCATAACCTGGCAGCAGCCAGATTTCTATGTGTAGCCCTGCCCTGTGTAGAGTCTACACAGTCTACACATTTCAATCTGCAGCAGAAACCATCTGAAAGAGGGAGGGCTATCTGGTAGAATATTTAGGGTTTTTTGGAGGCTGCGAATATTGCCCGGCTGGCATTGGCTACCATATTTTGTCCACAGTAACAACTCAAATGAAGTATACCATGTGCGCCTAGAAAACAGCGACTCACTCAAGATTGATTAATTCACTCACATGTCAATTACCATGTCTTCGAGTGATGTCTGCCGTTTTTGCGAGAAGCATATGCACATAAAGGGCAGGGTTTCCTCCAGCACTTTATAAGCTTTGATTTTCCCACCACTAACGTGTTTCTGATTAAAAACCCAGGAAGTGTGCACCATGTCCCACCCCCTGCACTCACAGACGAGGAGCGGTAGCAGTCCACCCCACCCCCAGATTTTGCTTAGTCAAAACTAACTCCCACAACACATGATTGGATTGGCCTATTTTGGGCTTGAGGTTGGACGGCTTGAACTGGAGCGATACGAAATAGATTCTCCTGAGTTTGGAAAACACAAAATCTTGCGAAAATTCATGTCGTAGCTTAAGGTTAAGTTTCTCGTGGAAGTTTCAGTTGCCAGCTCTCTTTCCCCTCCTGGCTTCAGTCTGCTTGCAGGTCCCTCCGTTTTTGTTTCATTTAGCTCCAACCTGTTTTGGAAGTGTTTCTCCTTTTTCAGGCAAGATGGCATTCACCCAACATGGCTCAAGCATGCTAATTGCTAACAGCCGGTATGCTCTGCAGTCTCATAGATTTTTATCTATGGTGGATTCCCTATCACAGTCATGACGGTTTACATCCCAGCCATCTACACCTTCTTTGGCCATCACTAGCACCACCATTCCAAACAACATCACCCCTACAGTCCTCCCCCGAACCAACTTTGTGTCTTCCAAAGGTCACAGTCCCCAAATTTTTTTTCTTCTGCTAACAAACCCGAGAGTTTTTCTATTCCAGTTCTTCTATCAATTGGCAATGATATAAACTGTTTTTAATGCCGGAGAACCCAGAAACATAACCAGACGTTAACAACTCATCCTTTTCCAACAGGTTAAGAAGACAAATGTGGATTTAGTTGAATGTGCCCTGTTAAATGCCCACTCTATTTGAAAAAAATCCTTTATTTTAAATGAGCTGTTCATCAAAGAGATGTTGACCTTTTATTTCTTACTGATAGGTGGCAGCAAGATGGAAATTGTGCAAATTTAAATGAAATATGCTCTGTCTTTACCACACCATGGATTGGTAACAAACAACACCCAAATTTCTTATATTTGTCTTGACGGCAGAGGATAAATGATCAAGTTTTTGACTAATCAGGGGAACCATGCTCTCAGGGGCATTCTTCAGAGTTTAACTGGAAGAAGTTTTTTTCTAGCCAGCTGGTGATAGCTAATAGACACTCTAGTAATTCAGACAGTTTATAGAAATCTGAATCCTTAAAGGAACAGTACAGCTGAATGTCATCTGCATATAGGTGATAAGAGACATTATGAAAATAATCAATTGTCTGTCCAAAAGGGTGTATGTACAGTAGAATTGACAGTGGACACAAAGCAGAGCCTTGGGGTACTCCACAGAACAGATCAGTAGAATCTGACGTGATTTGGTTTCTACAGACACTGTAACTTCTGTTAGAAAGGTATGATCTAAACCAGTCTAGAACAGTTCCAGAGATCCCCACAAGTCACAAAGTCTGTTAATTAAGGTGCTGTGATCAACAGTGTCAAAAGCTGCAGAAAGATCTAAAAACAAGGTTGCCTGCAACCATCATGATGTCACAGGAAACTTTAAGCAAAGCTGCTTTTGTTGAATGCTTTTTACGAAGACCAGATTTGAATTTGTCAAAACTGTTGTGTTGTTCCAGAAATAATTCAGTTGATCTGCCACAACCTTTTCCAATGTTTTAGGGGTAAAAGGTAATTTAGAAATCGGTCCATAATTTTACGCTGAGATGAGTCCAAACTTGTTTTTTTTTAGGATAGGTTCAACAACTGCATGTTTAAAAATTGATTTTAGAGATAAATTAAAATCTACAATGGATGGGTCAGTTTGGTCAAACATGTCCTGACGAACATGGCAGTAGGAATGAAATCAGCAGGGCATGAGGTTGGTTTCATGTATTTCTGAATGAGGCAAATGTCCAGGGGCCTCATTTATCAAGCTTGCTTACGCACAAAACGGGGTCGGAAAACTGCGTAAGCAACTTTCCATGCAAACTTTGGGATTTATGAAAGAAAACTTAGCGGAAAAATGTGCGCAACTTTAAGTTGACTAAGGACCTGGCTTACGCACATGTTGGACATGGAGAGCACCTGCAGTGCTGCTGCTGAGAAGGATAACATTACGAATTCCTGCAGCTTTATCACTTGTACTGCTTTGTTTTCACACAGAACAAGACCCCCCACATGCACACACACACATGCGCACGCACACACACACATGCGCGCACACACACACACACACACACACACACACACACACACCGAGCTGGGGAAGGACACACACACACTCACAGACACCGAGCTGGGGAAGGACACGCACACACACACACACACACACACACACACACACACACACACACACACACACATACACACACACACACACACACACACACACACACACACACACACACACACACACACACACACACACACACACACGCACACCGAGCTGGGGACAGAGACACACACACACACACACACACACACACACACACACACACAGAAATAAAAGACCTATATAAACTGAGGTGGGAAGACTAAGAGACATGAAGAAAACCAGGAGGGAGCTGGGGACAAAAAGGCTGGAGCCACAAAGACACAGAACATGAAGGAACACCTGGAGGGGCTGGGGATGACCGAATGAACACAGGACCTGGGAGGAATTATTTAAAGGGCTACAAACAGAAGACACATGAATGAGACGCATACAAAGGACACATGAGGGCGCTATGAGACACAAAAGGGGAATCTAGAGAGGAATGGAGAACACAAGGAGACACATGAGGGAAGACGTAGTCGGAGACCATGACAATACACCATCCTCAGTCTTACTTCACTTTAGTTACACCATACATTTAGTGTTAAAGTTAGTCTAGTTTTAATTTGTTTAGTGATAAATCTTTAAACTTTTAAAACTTGATTCTCTTTCTTTTGTCTCTGAGTTAATACAAAGCTGTTACATAATCCCTGCAATTAAAAGTTCCAATCTTCTCGTTTAAGTTATCCAAAGGTCCATAAGATTGACTTCATTTTTCCTATGGAATCTCACATTTTATGGTTCATTAAATAACATGTAAATTTAATTGTTACACCACCCAGAGGTGAGACAGCCTAGCTTCTAGCTCCCTTTTGTTACTTCAGAGGTTCAGATTTAGAAAAAAAACAGCCTTTTTAGAGGCTTTGCTGAGAAAAGCCACTTTTTACTTGAAAACTCTGCTGTCACGTATTTTAAAGCCAAATATCCACAATAAGCATTTCAAATTGTATTTTTAGACAGCATTTTATATCAATTAGAAAAAAAATTTCAACCTGCGATTTGCTCTTTAAAGCCTTATGGTCCAACCCAACCCCTCAATCCACACACTAGAACCTTCTAGAAGACCAAATATAAAAGTAGAGATGATCGTTCTTTCCAGGCTGTTGCACCCCGACTTTGGAATGAACTTCCTGTGTCCTTACATAGTATTTACAGTCTGGTCACCTATAAACAACAGCTGAAGACCCTTTTATTTAAAGCTGCGGTTACCTAAATTGTTTGTGTTTTGTTTTTTGTTTTTGTTTTTAACTGATATTTATGATCATTTTTTAGTGTCATGACTTTGTTTTTCAGATTTTTATTTGCGTTATGATATTCACTGTTTAGTTTTTTGAAAAGCATTTCGATTTAGACTTTATAATTTATTTTGTTTTGTTCATCTCTGTGAAGAACTTTGTGATTCTCTTTCTATGATGAGTCCTATATAAATAAAAATTACTTGCTTACCAGTCTGCAAATTAGTAGATTAATTCTACTAATTGAGACTATGGTTTAGAGTTTATTATATAATTTGAGAAATTAATGGAATTTTTTTTGTTGAGATACTGTCTAAATAAGTTGTTTTGATAGAGGTGGGTTTGGACTAGTTTCATTAATGTTAGGAGAATGTTTTGTTGTCTATTAGCACTGATGAGTGTTTAAAAATCTTGAGTGCAAAAGGAGCTTTTGGTCTGCTCAAAAACAGAAACGTAATAAAAATCAAAGAATGGAACTTTAGTTTAGTTAGTGAGCCATACAATGAAAAGTAAAACAGCCAATTTTGATCATTTATTCTGTTCAAACATCCACTGTCTTCAAAAGGACCCAACGCAGACTTGTGAAACATTCCTTTATTATAAATAGATCATTTGTATAAAAAAGGCATGCTTCAATTCAGCCATGGCATTTAGATGTTTCACAACTCAATAAGTATATCAGTTTAGCTAAAACAACCACAGATTCATCTCATAATGCAGTTCAGGAGAAAAGTGAGACAGAAACTAGTATCAGAAACTTTCATAGCCAATACGTTTCTTTATTTTTTTTTTCAAAAACACACAATTAGAATAACAACATATATGATTGGTCCTCACAATATTAAAGTTTGTAAAGTTTAAAATAGTTTTGTTTTATTTTTTTGTCCATTTGTCACGTTCCCATTCATGTCCAACATTCTGGTTTTGTAGATGATTATGTGCAGGTTTCTCCACCATCCAGGTCCACTTCCTGCTTCATGTAAACACCAAAAACACCACAGACAAGGGTTCAGTCTGTCAGCCGCAATACTTCTGACTGCTCAGGGAATCCTTTTCCTCCATCAGCCTGTATTGTCGTCTCCTCTGGGACTGACAGGAGTGTGCTCGTTAAATGTCCAAGGACATTGTCATGTTTGAAGGTGTTGTTTTCTCACATAGCATGGTTGGTGTAGCTGACGTAGGTTGTTTTTGTTGGTGGCACTGGAAAAAGCAAAGAAATCAGCACATCAGTGAGGCATAAAAATATATTGGTTCTCTTTATCTTCTGCTGTTTTGACTTTGGTCTAAAGCAGTGCTTCTCAACTACTGGGTGGATGTCAGGGGGCCGCAAGAAGCCACCAAATCTATGCTAAACCAGCCTCCAGTCACTAGGTGGCAGTAATACTCATACTAATCAACAGGACTGCCTGTCTAACCCAGCAAAAGAAGCAGCCTATAAACATGGTGGTGCACTCATAGATATGTATATACAGGGTGGCTGTGTCTCAATTCATGGTCTGCGTCCTACGTCGGCCGGATTCGTCGGCCGGTTACGTCACAGCACGGCGACCAGGCCTGTCCCAATTCGAAGACTCCTTCAAATGCGATTGACGAATTCGGCCTTCTTTTCGCCTGTATGAAGGATGGGTCTGGTGTATCCTTCAATGGTTTACATTTCCCAAGATGCCTTGCGGGCCAGACGGTAGAACTTTTAAAAACAATGGCGGACAGTGAAGCGGGAGCTGTCGGAGAGGATTGCGCATATAAATGTCAGTATAAACTTGAAAACTGTTAGGTTAAGGAATTTTTTTGATACATGAACGTTATTTTAGTTAGAAATGTTACAGTAAGAGTGCTTGTATTGCGGTCTCGGCTCGTATGTTCGGCCGCTCGGTGTCGTACTTCTACCGCTACGTTTTCCCCCTGATTTTAATAGAAGTTTGTATTTTAGGGACAAAAGAGAAAACCAGGGAATTTATTAAGCTTAGGGCGGAGATGGACCACATGATCACCGGAGCTAAGTATTCAGCGGCTGTGGCTTGGAGGTACAATAACAACATCTCATCTTTTAAAAACTTTCGTTTGAGTTTAGTTTTTTCTGCGAAAACATGAAAGGAATAAACCGTTGTCCTCTTCTATCTTTTCTCTTCCTGTTTCTTTTCTTACATGTTAGGACTATTCTGGAGAAAATGGCCATCCAGGGAAAGATGATCCCCATCCAGGCAAAAAAAGGGATAATTTAAAGAAAAAATATAAAGTATGTAGATGTGTGTGGAAAAATATAACATGTATACATGCTAAATGTAAAAAGGTTAAACAGTTTTGTAGTTATTTGTGTAAACTGACTTTGTTTTTTTTTATCTAGGATTGCAAGTATCCAGGGTCAGGAGAGGGGGTTAGTGGGAAGCCCACTGCTGCTACTTGGCCCTGGTTTGACCTCATGGATGAGGTATTAGGACAGAGACACTCAACCAGTCCGCCTGTCCTAATTGCCTCTATCCGTGAGGACACTCCAGGGCCAAGTACAGCAGTGGAGGAAAGGGAGGAGAGTGAGGATGAAGAGCCAGGAGGAAGTCAACCAGGTGGAAGAAAAAGGAGAAGGGACAGCGATGACCAGCTTCTGGAGCTGACCAGGGAGGACATGTGGCTGCAGAGGGAGGCAGAGCAGCAGAGGGCACAGGAGAGAAGGGAGAATTTTGGCAGGCTTTTTAGTTTGCTCGAAATAAATGGTTAACAAAGATTAAACATGTTTTCTTAATAAAAATATCTATATAAAATCAGTTCTGTATTAAACTGTTGAATTTTATTTTTGTTTACAAATGTGAATTGTTTAATATTACAGGGTATCCGCTGGGTCTTAAAGTCTTAAACAGTGATAAATTGATTTTGGTCAAATTAAGACCTTAGAAAGTATTAATAACTATTATCACATCTTTGCTCAGGCTAAGCTTTGCAAACTATTTTCTCTGAAGTAGCTCTCCAACAGTCCCAAAAACATTATTTAAGTGTGTGACACAGTTATAAACTTCCAGCTTTCAACCCTGTTATCACATGCATTTAGAGTAAGGCAAGCAACTCAAAAGGAAGGAACAGAGTTTCCCCAATCAGCAAGGCTGCCACAGAGATAACCAATGCCTTCCCTGCACAAAGTTAGAGAGAGGAGAGCCAGCACGATTGCCCCCATATCCCAAGCCACCAGCCCCTCACCCAGACCCACCCATGGGTGATACAGGTATCAGGCAACAACCTGTGGCCACTGTCAAAGACCTCCCAAGGCCCCACACTCAGTTGCCAGAAGGACAGCCCCCAAGGTTACAAATGCCACCAGGATGAGGAAACAGCCCGTCAGCACCAGAACCCACGACTAGGGAACCTCAGGGTGCTTCAATATCAGACACCTCCCCCACACTAACCACATTGTCCTGCAGGCCATAGTCAATGGCCTTCCACCATCGCTATGTGATGGAACCAATTAAAGGAGCCCAAAGAGAATTATTTGATGTAGGCAGAGGCTGTCTCAAGTGTAAAATGATCTAACAAATTATTTCTAAACTGGTTAATGCAAAGATTATGTTTATTTTTCCAGTTTATGAGGATAGTTTTCTCAGCAATGTAAATGGCAGTCAGAACCATGTGAACCTAACTGATTCCCATTGGGACATCATCCAGGTTTCCCAGCAAGCAAAATGAAGGGGAAGTTGGGTTTTCACATTTTAGATACTTTGACGGGTGTTCACTTTTTTTTTTTAGAGAAGATTAGAGAAGACTGTCATTTTTAGATGACCTCGTGCTGCCAGAGAGGTGCTTATTTTACTGCGTTACCGTAATTTTTAGTGACTGGAGTAAAACACAGATATGAACCAGGTGAGTGTTGCTGTGTATGAAACACTGCAGGGTTAAAGGAAAGCAGCCTTGACGCCTCTGATGAGGAAGCTGCTGCTTGTTAAATACAGCAGAGCCATTCAGACAGCCCATCTCTGATGAATAAACATGCAGACGTCTCTGCTTTTCTGCTGACAGACAAACCGCTTTGAAGTCAAACTCTAAGCTGTAAACACTTTGGCTTCATCACATCTAGACTCAGTTTACGTCTAAAAAATTCAGAGCCGAGGCTCTGTTCAGTAAATCATTTACACTAATTAATAAACTGTATTTTTCTTCTTCATTATTGCTTTGCACCTGGTTGCTAGCCAGTCATACTACTTTTATTTGAGAGGAGTTCTATGGCATTTTTAATTTATTACTGAAGCACAAACTTAATCTGAAATATAATGATGATTTATGGAATGACTAAAGTGTTATAATAACTGTCCTAGAGTCTGGTAGTCTAATCTAGACACACATTAGCAGGAGAGAAAAGAGTTTGCTCTGCAGGCAGGGCCAGATTAACACTTTGTTGTACCCTGGGCAACAATAATCAAGGGCCCCATCATCACGACCCAAGGATCACCACAATATGGTCACATACAGATTATATTACTGTAATATGCAGTAAATACACTCAAAACTTGAATGCCTGACATCACGTAACCCGCTCAGGGTAACCTTTGACCCACCTTGTGTGGACTGACCAATGAGGAGAGGGTCTTAACTTGAGGCCCTCTCTTCATTGGTCAGTCTGCACAAGACTGACTCAACTGCTCTCAACTGACGTTCAAAGTCATAGGCAGCGAAGCTTCTCTGTGCAGCGCATTTTGCCTTGACCCCCAAAATGCCTTGAAACGGCCCTGGGTGTGTGACTGAGTTTTGAAGGTGATCTGAATTGTATCAGATGTATCAATATGACATGTGTATAACTTATTGTTTTATACAGGTAAAAACGTGTAGTGGAGATAAATCTACCTACATTTTACTTTGTTTTCTTGTTTTTATTGAACTATTTTCCTGTCCTGTCTGTCTCTCATCTTCCTGCATCTCCTCTAAACTCTCCAGAAAAACTGCTGCCTGGGTTCTTACTTTTTCACCTCATCAGTTACTTCTGAGCAGATCAAAGGGATCTCCTGACCACAAAGCGGAGAGCGCGTTTCGATGCTGCGTCAGTGAGGTGAAATCACCGCAGCACACGATTAGCTCCGCAGTAGCAGAGTGCTTCAGGTGCAAATAAGACAGAAAATAGAGAACATGTGTGGACATGAACGATCGTGTGCTAATTATAGTTTTTTGGGTTGGCCACTTTGAGAATGGACTGTGCGCTGGACTTAGCAGCCTGGAGCGCTGCGCAACAACGCGCTATGCCTCTCTATGCTCAAAAGAGTCCATAAATGATGTAACATAGGTAGAAAACTTTTTTCCGGCACCCCTGGATGTGTAGGATATACAGCTCCCCCATAATTCGATCCCTGCTGCTGGATGAAAAGCTGGACATTTTCATCAATACAAGAACCCCCAGTCCGGACGCCCCGGACAGAGAGTGAAAAGTGGACATGTCCGGGGAAAACAGGACGTACGGTCACCCTAGTCCTCATAAAGCCGGAAATTACAGATACAGTACTTTGCTCGTGCCCTTGCTGCCCTGGGCCTGGAGTTTGTGGGCCCTGGGCAATTGCCCAGTTGCCCATATGGTTAATCCGGCCTTGTCTGCAGGCCAGACTAGCCACGCCTCATTGGAACCTTGGCAGGCCTGAACAGTCTTGTGTCTGGCCAATCATAGCACTCTATCAAAACAACGATGGCGGTGGCTAATTTGAAATGACTTTCACATGAACCTTGTACTATTTAGACTTGGGCTTTACTTTGAGTCAAGAGCAGATAGAGGTGTATTCTTCAACAGTGCATGGTGGACTGCTTTGTTGACTGACAACTGTAGCGGTGTGTGCGCCACGTTGTTCATTGTCTAATAACATGTGGGCTCTCAGCCCGTCCCTGGCCTCTCCACTGCCCACCTCAACCTCACGGATCTTCAAGCACCTCCTACGCTCAGCTCCCTCAACCCTCAAGCCACCAAGAACCCTGCCTCACGTAAGCCCCCCAGGCCGGACCCCCTCCCCTCCCGAGTCCTCCACGCTTCGAGATTGCAAGTTCTCAGGAACTCCCAGATTCAAATCAAGATTATATGTACCGGACCTAATCCCCTCTGTCTTTAGATCACCACACCCGATCCCCGTTCCGAAGAAGTCAGCTGGACTTTCCGCTGCACTTTTAGTTCACCTTTATAAATAAGTTGTTTAAACTCTTATCTGCTTCCTTGGAGTGATTCTGTATGTCGTGGGTTAGACTCTTACCACACAACATGACATGCACAAATTAGCTTTAAAAAGGTTCACAAGACCAACGATAGATGAAGGCTGGATCTACCCATTGTTATCATTATTTCTTAGCCAACAGGCTCCAATATATGCAAAGATGGTTGCAGCATAACCCACTAGATGAGTCCTGGTTGTAGAACAAACACTCTGCAATACGATAGCGCTCTCAGACTTGCCTTTTATTAGCTCCAACATAAAAAAAACCCATGAAAGCTATAAAAGCATTAATATTAGCACCTATCTGACAGCATGGTATAAAGTTTTAGTATCATGCGTGACATTAAAGTAGAAGGTTTGACGCTCCACCTAAAGCCACAGCGCCACCAGACTGAACTGGGTGGAACAGCAGGTGATGGTTGGACATCAAGAAATCTGGGAGGCCTCGGAGTGAGACCCCCGAAGAGACCCCAGGTTCATACGGTCATATTAAAGGAGGCTGTGGAGAAAGCACAGCCACGTTTAGGATCAGACAGAGATGTGACTAGCAAGAGAAACATTGTCTGTCCTGAAGACTGAAACCAAGAATGATTTAGGCTATAGACAGGTGCAGGTTTATGAGGGTCCGGATTAGATGTGCTCTCTGGAGGGCCCCCGGTCGACACACAGGTGCGATCAGAGAGACCAGGGTCAGCCAGTAGAGGTGCAGGGCGATATCTGGCCCCCCTCTTGGTAGGTGGTGTTCCCCCCGCAGAGTACTGGGCTTCAGCTGGAGTCTCAGTGCCACCATCAACTCTCCCTGTGGCAGGTGGTGTCCCCACTGCAGGGTGTGGAGTCTCAGGCGGAGCGTCGCTGCAAGTGTCAGCTTCCCCTGGGTCAGGTGGCTTTCCTAATTCAGGTAGAAGTGGTTCTGCTGCAGGGACCACACAGGCTCTGTGGACATCAATGATCTTAGAGGTACTGGATTCCCTAGTCAGTCTGGTGCCGTTGTGGTCAACAACTCCTGAAGGAGGAGTGACACGAACACAAAAGAGAACACGCTGCTCAGGAACGGAGTCAAACCACAGAAAAGGATATTGAAGAGCTTTTGGATCAGAAAGGTGCAAGATCGTCCTGCTGATAGCAGGGTCCTGGAACTGAAGACTGACAAGGTCATTTATAGAAAAGCCAAGTTGAAAAGACACAAACCCATCAGATGGTTGAAAGATGGACACATCATCAGGGGGCCACAAGGGTTTGAGGGACCATGATGTGTCCACACCTTTACCTTGGTTGGCAAGTGGGTCTGTCAAGTTGTTGAGATGACGGTTAAGGAAGTTCTCTGGCGGAAGTCGAGTTTCAAAGCTGAGTTTCTGGCCACCGATGTAGCTGGAAAGGTGTTTACCAGCCCACATGGTGGAAAGAGAAGGATTATCGTAATCAGGATATTTTAACACAAGTTGTGGTTTGTCTCACTTGAATACAGTGGTAGGAGCATCTGCTTGGTCCACGACCTGTTTAATCTGAGAGGAAACATCAGAATGTGACTCTGATGAAAGCTGAATCTGTGGTGGCAAAGTTTCTGGGCTAGGTGGTGAACGTGATGTTCCCACCTGCTCAGAGTTACCAACCGTGAGACAGTTAAGCGCAGCTTGCTGTCAGCGCGCACGTAAGGTGGACAGCGAGCTGAAGATGTGGAGATTAGGGACTTGGAGCACGTCGTAGAACCAGAGCACATGAGGGATGAATCCTCTCCTTGAAGCGAGAGTTTTCCAAACCCTGTCTCTCAGAGAAACTTGTCACTTAGGAAATGTTCCCTGATTATGAAACTTGGGCTGAATAGGGCTTGTTACAATGGGTCGATGCTGCAATGCATCCATGAGCCTGTCTGAGGCAAAGTCCAGAATCTCTGTCATGACTCCCAATCCTTCACCCTCCTCTGCCTTCATGCAGCACACCTGGTCTCATCATCAAGCCCCAGCCAAGCCCTGTTTCCCTGACTACCACAATCAGCTTCATCCACTTCACCTGCTTCTGACTCCTCAGCTCATCACTCACACCTGTTTCCCCTGCTACAAAAGAACCAGCCATCCAGTCATTCAGTGCCAGATTATTGAAAACATTTGCCCGTAAATTCTCCAGCCATCCACCCTGCCTGATCTCTGCCTCCGGACCTCATTCTTCGCCTGGCCCCTGCCTTGTATTCTGCCTGCCATTTCGACCTGCGCCTGTCTCCGACTCTGTCTCCAGCCTCGCCCAACTTTGGTAACTCTGCATCAAAATAAAGACGTTTTTTGTTATACTTTTACTGTGTTTGGCGTCTTCACGGGTCTTCTGAGTTCTGTTCATGAAAATCTCCTATCCTCTTCAGCTCAGAAAGTGCCTATAGAGACATCTGATTATGCACAAGCAGGTGACCTGTCAGCCTAGTCTCACGTGAGACCGGGTTGGACCTGTTCAGGTTTATGAAGACAATCTTTATGTTTAGAATTGGCATACAGATATAAGTGAATGCAGTAAAATAATTTTAATTAAAGAGCAAGCAATGCCTACTAACTTTTTTTTCTGATAACCGGTATAGATGAGTGTGTAATGGTGATGTACACATGTGTAGTCATTAGTGTGGCAGTTTAGTGCAACTTAATTAAAATTTAATATTTCAGCCCAAAACCATAATTCTATCTCCATCTTCAGGTTAAAACTCTGCTCCACATTTATGTAGAACCAGCTGTGGCTGATGGCTGAGCTGAAAAACGTGACGTTGTCAGCAAAGTACTACGTGGCTGCACTGCACTGGTCTCCAGGTGAGGCAGCCGCACCTCCACCTGGCTCGGCCACTCACCTGCTGACATGACATGTTGGCTCTCTGAGCCGCTCGTCTTCTTGAAAAAAATGCCCTCCTCCCCTTTCATCTAATGATCGCGGTTAACAGGAAATCCTCTAGAATGCTGCAGAATCTGTGTCTGCTTTTCTCCTGAGCGGTAAGTCTTGTGTGAATACGTGCTTGAATGCACCCGCGAGTGCGCACTCGCTCGTTAACAACTCGTTTTTAGATTGAGAAACTCCGACAGCACACGAGGGGGGGTTGAGGGGGGTGCGGTCCATCACTGCCTCAGTGCTGCTCTCTCGGTCCTCCAGCGTTTTCCTGACAGGAAGTGGGGATGAAATATGTCTCCACCCATGCCTTGACTCTCACTTTAATTATTCATTTATTATTTTACAAGCACAAGAGAGCCGCATCAGTTGAATGAAAGAGCTGCATGTGACTCCAGAGCCGCGGGTCGCTGACCCCTGGTCTAGTTTGTTTTTCTGTGAAGTTCTACATAAATGACTGAAGCAATGAACTTATTTTCTCTGCAAACCTTTTCAATAAACTCACTTCTGTTGTAATAGAGACGAGTTCAGAGGTGTGATCAAGTCACTGCTTTACAAGTCACAAGTAAGTCACAAGTCTTTCCAGTCAAATCTCGAGTCAAGTCCAAGTTAAAGACAATCAAGTCCAAGTTGAGTCTAAAGTCAATGATGTGGAAGTCCAAGTCAAGTCCAAGTCTTTAACCTTGAATTTTCAAGTCATAATCAAGTCGTCTGTCCAACTTCAATTTAATGACAACAATAAATAATAAAGCGTAACAAAGAAATAAAGCTTCTTAAAGCTTCATTTATTTGCTCAAACAAGCAGAAAGTGCAGCTGAAATAGGTAATAAACAAAGTTCTGCTGCATTTAGCAGCACATCTAACCCAGAACCGAGAATGATTCATGATTTTTGTCCATGTTGTAACATTTTTGTGCAAAAATTTCAAATATGCTCAAGTCATTCTCAAGTCAACAGATGCAAATCATTGGCGTTCAAGTCCGAGTCATGTTGTAAGTCTTTATAGATTTTATCAAGTCAAGTGAGAAGTCATTAAAATAATGACTCGAGTCTGACTCGAGTCCAAGTCATGTGACTTCAATCCACATCTCCGGAAGGGTTATCTAAAGGGTAATGACGAGTGATTGACTGTGGTTTCAAGACAACTCACCACTAGCTTCAACTCCCTCACACAGCTCTGTCTTCACTTCACCGTTGGGCCGCTCAGCTGCCAGATGGGACAGCTTGGTGGTCATGGTGGCAGCGGTGACGATGGCTTTGAAGCTGCGCTTTCGTTTGGGAACGTTCTGCTCAGGATGGAAGATGATTATGTAGACCTTGGGCACGTAGAGCATGCCCAGGGATACAGATGCACTGAGGCTAAGGGAGACGGTCAGTGTGGCTGTCTGGATGTACATCTGCAGAGAGAAAAAACTGATTTTAGGATGTAGATGCAGGAACATCTGAAAAACCTGCCATTCAGCCTGTTTACCACCAACACTCAGTTTCTGACACTGCCATGATTTTATGGAGATGCTGTGGAAAATGCAAATAAACAGGAATTCTCAAAAGTTTTGTCTTTTAAAAAATTGCTGACATGGTTCCTTAGTTCACCTTCTGATTAAATGAGTTTGGTTTTTACTCTGGCTTCCTGCCAGCCTGTCATCTCTTACTGTGTTTTGTCTAAATCCTGCCAAGTGTCAGCCACTCCATAAAATATCAGAACTTCCATCAAACGCACCGGAGTTTCTAATATAAGTTCTACTATTATTTTCCTAAAAACTGCCTTTCAATATGCAGTAAAAGTAGAAATCAGATGTGTTGGATTTTCATAGAAACGTCATGTTCAGTTATTATCTCACTTGTTGTTAGTAAAGCAACCTCAGTCTTTGAGCAAAATCAGTTTAGAAAAACTTGAGATTAGATTAGTGGAATGATGTGCTAAAGGCTAGTGTAATGGAGAAATGGGACTATTCTAATTACAGTGTTGGGAGTAATGCGGTACAAAAGTAAGTAATTACTGTAATGCATTGCTTTTTGCTGTAATGTGGTAATGTAAGGCATTGCAGGGAAAGAAAATGGTAATATTTACTCGGTACAATTGTCAGTAACGCGATAATTACAATGCATTTTTAAACCCAGAATCAAGATGTGGGTTTCCTAAAAATTCAAATTGCGGGAAACCTGAAACAAGATCCAGTATCCACTTATATGACGTCATTTATGGACTCAGCTTTGCGGGCATTCTATGAGCAGAGAGGACGCAGCGGTAATGGCTCAAATACTCCAGCTGCGTTCTGCACGCGGCCGCTGTTATATTCACAAAATCGCTCCACCAAAACAAAGTCATTCGTTTGTGATTGTTTATATCTGCCCATATTCTCTGGTACTTCATGTACTTTTCAGCTGAGCTCATAATCTGTGCCCCGGTGATTTCAACTGATTGCTGCTGGAGCGCAGCGCATACTAAGCTTCTTTTATTGTGTTTGGTAGCTCCCTTTGGCTGATTAGTTAGAAAGTAGGAAATCTAGGAAACAGTTTTGGAAGACGGAGAAAACATGCAGCATGCAGGAAGGTTAGAGAGAGAAAGGGCAGGAAATTATTCAAATAAAATCAAGAAAAAAAGAAAAAAGTAGACAGATTTATCCCCAATACACATTTTTACCAGTGAAAAGCAATAATGAAAAAGCATTTAATATTTATACATGTGATAGAATCAGATCACTCCAGAAGTCAGTCCCACATCCAGGGCCGTATCAAGGCATTTGAGGACCAAGGTAAATATAGGCTTGGAGCCCCCACCACCTCACTCCCTGCTCAGATGGCCCTATAAGAAGGCAGCGTGCTGAGAGTACAGCTTGTTGTTGTTTTTATTTAATAAACAATTATTTTAAAGCACTGTTATTATATCTGACTGTTTTTAACAGCAACCCTAGCTCAGACACCACATCACTTTCCACATATATGTCATGAGCTCACTGAGCATCACATGACCAGATTCATACTGAAGTTGTTTTGGTGAAAGTAACTTAAAGTAATGCAAAAGTAGTGTAATACCTTACATTTTAAAATCAGTAATATTGTAATGTAATGAATTACTTTAAAATGAGGGTAACAAGTAATAAATAATGCATTACAGTGTTGAAGTAACTTGCCCAACACTGTCTATTTATTTGTGCATTACTATTTTACAGTGGGACCATTTGTGAGGTCAGAGAAGTTGGGGGTTACGACAGCCATACATGTTCTGTCTCACAGTGGCTCAGCCACAGCATGGCTGGGGGGGGGGGTTGTTGCTTCTTTCGCCTCAGATGCAGCCCCCCACCCCTTCTTAGATGTACATCCCCTTCCTCTCTAGTCTAGTTTATGCTTCTGCATCTATGCAGAGACATGCCACGCCATTATCTGCCTTGCAAAGACTCTCCAGCAGGCTTGTAAGAACTGACAGAGTTGAGCCCTTTCTTCTAACCATCGTCAAACGGGTCTGAGAAAGCAACCTTGTGATTGGTCAGGACTCTGCTTTCGTCAGCAGAGCCGCAATTGCGCCCTCAAAAACATAAAGAAAGTCAAAGATATGTAGCAGCAGACACGGAGCAGTGTAGCAATACCTTGCAGAAAAACATTGAAAATATGAACACGTTATTCACCTGTGACTGGAGAATTTATAACACACGCAGCAAGCGATTTATACATGGATGTAATTAATGGGAAACGTGGGTCTGGAGGTAGCGAGCGCATAAACAGGTGGAGGAGAATGAGGGATGAATTTGTCTGTGTTAAAAAGTCTCTGAAATACAAAAAACACAATATAAACACAATAGTGAACAAATTAAGTTCAATTCAAGTTATTTATATAGCGCCAAATCACGACAAGAGTTGTCTGAAAGCACTTCACACAGTAAAAACAGGCCAGTTCATTAGTCATCATTGTCGTCTTCCTCCGCTTATCCGGGTCCGGATCGCTGGGGCAGTATCCCAACTAGGGAGCTCTAGACCGTCCTCTCCCCGGCCACCTCCACCAGCTCCTCCGGCAGGACCCCAAGGCGATCCCGGACCAGATTGGAGATGTAACCTCTCCAATGTGTCCTGGGTCGACCCGGTGGCATCCTGCCAGGCAGGAAATTGCCAAAACACCTCCCCGGGGAGGCATCCAGGAGGCATCCTGACCAGATGCCCAAACCACTTCAACTGACTCCTTTTGATCCGGAGGAGCAGCGGTTCTACTCTGAGTCCCTCCCGATTGTCCAAGCTCCTCACCCTATCTCTAAGGCTGAGCCCGGCCACCCTACGGAGGAAACTCATTTCGGCTGCTTGTATCCGCGATCTCGTTCTTTCAGTCATTACCCAAAGCTCATGACGATAGGTGAGGATTGGGACGTAGATCGAGTGGTAAATCGAGAGCCTGGTTTTCTGGCTCAGCTCCCTCCTCACCACGACAGATCGGCTCAGCGTCCACATCACTGCAGACGCCGAACCAATCCGCCTGCCGATCTCCTGATCCCTCCTACTCTCACTCGTGAACAAGACCCCGAGATACTTAAACTCCTCCACTTGAAGTAGGACCTCTCCCCCGACCCTGAGTTGGCAAGCCACCCTTTTCCGGCCGAGAACCATGGTCTCATATTTATGTTTATGTTTATTATGTTTATGTTTATTCATTTCGCAGACGCTTTTATCCAAAGCGACGTACAATTTTTATAACCTATAGGGCATGTTGTGGGGATGGACTGTCCAATCTCGGGGGCAGAAGTTGCAGAGGTAGTCAAACAACTACACAGCGGCGGAGCCCCGGGGGCGGATGAGATTCGTCCTGGGCATCTCAAGGTATCTCCATATTTGGAGGTGCTGATACTCATCCCAGCCGCTTCACACTCGGCCGTGAACCTACCCAGCAAGAGCTGAAGGTCAGAGCTGGATGAAGCTAGAAGGACCACATCATCCGCAAAAAGCAGAGACGAGATTCTCCTGCCACCAAACTCGACACACTTCACACCACGACTGCGCCTAGAAATTCTTTCCATAAAGGTAATGAACAGAACCGGTGACAAAGGGCAGCCCTGGTGGAGTCCAACCCTCACCGGGAACAGGTCCGACTTACTACCGGCTATGTGGACCAAACTCACGCTCCTCTGGTAAAGGGACTGAATGGCCCTCAACAGAAAGCCACCCACCCCATACTCCTGGAGCGTCCCCCACAGGGTGCCCCTGGGGACATGATCATAAGCCTTCTCCAAATCCACAAAACACATGTGGATTGGTTGGGCAAATTCCCATGCCCCCTCCATCACCCTTGCAAAGGTATAGAGCTGGTCCACAGTTCCACGGCCAGGACGAAAACCACATTGCTCCTCCTCTATCTGAGATTCAACTATCGATCGGACCCTCCTCTCCAGTACCCTTGGAGTAGACCTTTCCAGGGAGGCTGAAGAGTGTGATCCCCCTATAGTTGGAACACACCCTCAGGCCACCCTTCTTAAAGATGGGTACCACCACCCCGGTCTGCCACCCCACAGGAACTGCCCCCGATGACCACACAATGTTGCAGAGACGTGTCAACCACGACAGCCCTACAACATCCAAAGCCTTGAGATACCCAGGACAAATCTCATCAGCCCCTGGGGCTCCGCCGCTGTGTAGTTGTTTGACTACCTCAGCAACTTCTGCCCCCGAGATTGGACAGTCCATCCCCAGGTCTCCCGGCTCTGGTTCCTCCTCGAAATGCGCGTAGGTGGTAATGAGGAGCTCCTCAAAGTATTCCTTCCACCATCCGACTGTAGCCCCAGTTGACGTCAGCAGCTCCCCATCCCCAGTGTGAACAGTGTGAGCGAGTTGCTGCCATCCTCTCCTGAGGTGTCGGACAGTTTGCCAGAACCTCTTTGGAGCCGATCGATAGTCTTTCTCCATGGCCTCACCAAACTTCTCCCACGCCCGAGATTTTGCCTCAGCAACTGCCACTGCGGCACCCCGCTTGGTTATCCGGTACCTGTCTGCTCAGTTCATTAGGCCAATCAGAAAAAGTTTCCTATATGAGGATCCCCGTAAACTGCATCAAGTCACTGACTAGTGTCAGAGTCTTTACAGCAATCCTCATACTAAGCAAGCATACAGCGACAGTGGAGAGGAAAACTCCCTTTTAACAGGAAGAAACCTCCAGAGGATCCTGGCTCAGTATAAGCAGCCATCCACCATGATGGAGAAGACAGAGCACACACACACACACACACACACACACACACACACACACACACACACACACACACACACACACACACACACACACACACACACACACACACACACACACACGCACACACACACGCACACACACACACACACACACGCACGCGCATGCGCACACACACACACACGCACACACACACACACACACACACACACACACACACACACACACACACAC